TCTTGTTCTCTCTAATATAGTTCAATCTTAATTTGGTATAAATCTTTTTCCAGTATATGCATATATACTAATTCAAATCACCACATATGTATACGTTAATTTAAATTTTGATTCTTGTAACCTTGATAAATATCTATAACCTTGATACATATCCATAATTATAACCTTGATACATATCCATTAATGGCATGTAACACCAAGAATTTATGTCCCTATAATTTGTGCGTGCCTCAAAGATGGGATTGTGACCTAATAATAAGTCAAGTACTTTATTATAACCTTGATACATATCCATTAATGGCATGTAACACCAAGAATTTATGTCCCTATAATTTATGCGTGCCTCAAAGATGGGATTGTGACCTAATAATAAGTCAAGTACTTTATAACCTCTATAGCATTACTAGAATTAATGGTAGAGAAGATGAAGGAAAAAGAATACGCCTCCTAAATATTGAGAGAGAGAGAGGTACGTTACTAATTCTTGTTTCTCTCGGATATATTTCAATCTTAATTTGGTATAAATCTCTCCGATATATTTCAATCTTAATTTGGTATAAATCTCTTTCCATTAGGTTGATATATACTAATTCAAATCACCACATATGTATACATTATTTTAAGGAAAAAATTAATATTATGATGCTACTTTATAATGTAGAACTACGGATGTCCTTCAAAAATCCATCGGAAAAGGTAGTCTAATATTGAAAAACCTTTTAATTGATCATCTCGACATCAAGATGTCGGACTATAAAAAATAAAAAGATTTTAAGTCTCAAAAATAGTGCATTTTGCAACATATTATCTACACCGTCCACTTTGAAGATTTTCATATGTTTATAGATCTACTTGATTTTAACTATTTTTTAAATTTAAAATTTTATAATTAAATATAAAAATAAATTTTCAGATAATCCTAATAACATTTTACATCGAAATTATGTACCATGATATAACTTGCAGGGCACCGTACCTCTACACCTATGCGTCCGTATGCTAACTGCACCCTTATTTTAAAATTTGATTCTTATAACCTTGGTACATATCCATAGCACAACATGGGTAAGAAGCAACACATGCTCCGAGCAATCCCAAGACCCAGTTATCCAGGGAGCCAAGTGCCAGTCTCCACTACAAAGACGGGCTCATCCTGCAAAATAAGATGGGGACCAAAAGTTTCCATCTTTGACAGGGTCACTTGAATTAAATGTTGGGGATTTGGTTCATCAATAGATGCACCTTATCTACGTGAGTGATGGATTCTGTATCTAAAATCAAACACAATTATTAATCAGAAAAAAATACATATATAAATTTTTAATTGCAAAAAATTGATAATTTTAAAGGAAAAAAATTATATAAGGCATCAAACTTGCGGTTGCACTGTAGAAGTAAGATGCACCTGAAAATCCCACTAGAAAAGGTATTTTGATGTAAAAAATTTCTCAATTTATCAACTTGACCTCGAGATATCTAGATATAAAAAATAAAAAAAAAATCCTATAAATTATAAATCATGTAATATGATGGAAAAAAAAAATCCAATCCTAAAAATTGTAAATCATGTAATATATTGACCTATGGACCCGAATGGTCAACCCAACCAGATCAGGGGAAATGATTGATGGGTCGCATTTGAGTCTACTTGAGTGGATCTATGAAGACTTGAAAATTGACTGCCTAGATAATATATTACCATATGTACTATTTCAAACTTGAAATCTATTTCTTTTTATGTCCATATATCTTAAGTGAGAGATGGTAGAATTGAGGATTTTTTAGCATCAAAATAAGCTCTTCTAGTAAATTTTTTGAGATACGCCTCAAGTTGATTGGTTTGGGCATCACCCTAATATAAAAATTTTCCTAACTTAAAATTGCTCTATTATTTTCCTTTTTTAATGATAACAGTAAATTTCATTAGAAAAAGGAGCAGACCTCCAAGATTACAATAAGAAGGAAGAAATCAAGGAATACAAGTATCCCCAACTTTCACAAATGTAGCACCACAGCACAGGCTGCAACTCTAACTTGGAAGGATCCAACTCCACTCACTACATAAAATCCCAAGTATTCCCCCACAAAGCACTCCCAATTACAACCAACCAATAACTGTATCACCCAATCCAGACTTCTCAAAGGAAACCCCATAACCACCTTTCCTTCAGCAATCATCTCATGGGCCGATGTTAGAGCGAAGCCTAACCCACACTAATCTTGGCAGCTCGCGGTATGCAAACAGTGGCCTCAAAGTATCAACAAAATTAACAGTCCAAAGAGAGATTAGAATTGCTCCATATCTTTCATTAGGAAAAGTTTATATAGATCCGGGGCTCTAAACAATCAAATTAGAGCCTACTTCAAATTTTTGGAAATAGTATATTTTGTAATGCATTTTTGGACAGTCAATTTTCAAGTCTTCATAGAACAGCTTCATCTACACTATTTTTGAAACTTTGAACTTTATAAATAAAGATGAAAAAACATTTAAAGCTAACACAAATATTTCCGGTACCGAAACCACATTTCTCAATACTATTTGAAGGTAGGATCTAATTTGATTGTATAGAGCCTAGGCTCGATACAAACCGAACCCTTTTCATTAAATGAAATAGGGTAGGGGCCATATACCCGTTCTCCATTGACTTCATCCCCAAGAAAAAAGAAAAAAAAATTTGCAATTGTAATGTTGAAAAGAGAGGAAAAAGTTTATATAGAGCCGAGGCTCTGAACAATCAAATTAGAACCTACCTCGAAAATTTCACTAGAAGAGGTTCTTTTGATGTCGAAATAGCCTCAAATTAATCATCTTGACATCAAGATGCATGGACATGAAAAAAAAAAGGATTTCAAGTTTTAGAAATAATGTATTTTGTAACGCATTTTTGGACCATCAATTTCCAAGATTCTCAAGTTTTCATAGATTTGTCAATCTACACTATAATTGAAGCTTTAAAATTTATAAATAAAGATTACCATATATTTTAAAACTATCACAATGATTTTTAGTGTTGAAACCACATTTCGTGATACTATTTGAAGGCAGGCTCCAATTTGATTGTTTAGAGCCTGAGCCCTATACAAACTACATCCAAAAGAAAAAGTATATTAAAAGATCATTTAACCTTGACCATTGGATGTGAAATTAGGTAGTTGCATTTATTTCATTGACCAAATTTAAAGTTCAAAAAAACTTTTCAACTTCATGACACACACAAGCTATTAGAATTCATATGGGATGGTTGTAAATAATTGTGACCTCCCTAGACCAATATTAGAATTCACATGGGTTGGTTGTAAGTAATTGTGACCTTCCCTAGATCAAAAGTAAGTAGACCGATTGTATACAATCCCATCAAAAAAATGATCCTCAAAATTTCAATGGAAAATGTTGCCTTGACCAGGTTCTTTGAAGGGAGAAAATTTGAACGAGTACATCACCTGACACACCTATACTCTCAGGCACTTCCAAACCATGACCCTTGTCTATCTATTTCTTGGAAAGATCGAAAATTAGAACCCCTTAAATCCAACACAACTCAACCTTCCACGCTCTCCAATCTTATTAATGCTACTCGGCCTGCACGTTCAGGACGTTGTCTCACGCTTCTGTTACTAAACTTTTTTATCAAATCTCTACTCCTTCAATCATCATTTAATCAAAATATAATCTACTCCATTGGGAGTAAAATATCACCATTTATTTCATAAGTTAAAATGTCCATTTATTTTCACTTCCTAGCTTAAACCTTATCGAGGTGGAGATGTAACCTCTTCAACCTACAAATCAACATCAATTAAAAATAAAAAAGCGTTCCTAATTATATCCTATGTACACATGAAAAAATAAAAATCATGAAATTGAATAGAAATCATCTAATATTTAGATAATGAGACCTACAAGGTACAAAACTCAAAAACTCAAATATTGTCTTGAATGCTCAGTGATTCCCAAAATTTCATATTGACGTCGTTTCATGGTTCTCTAGAGTTTTCGGTGGCTCTAATCCTATCATCCCATGCTTCTGAACCACCGCCATTAACGCACCTTCCCTCCTTCTCTTCATTCTTCGTTGATCTCAAGCAATGAATTCCAAGGAGGCAGTTAAATCTCGACACAAATTGACAGCAAATTAATCTCCGAATCTACGACCAGATTTCTTTCACTCATTAATTACAACTCCCCTGCCACTATGTCCTCAACACCATTAATATAAAATAAAATAAAAAAAGCGACTGGCAAACCTCCTTTTAGACAAAAAAAAAATTATATTTATTGCAGCTACAATCTGCTTCCAAAAATAAACCTTAATCTCGGACATCATATCATGCCTCTGACCATATATCCATATCCATATCCACAATCCAAACACGACAACAAGAAGGACAAAATGATCATTTTTCACATAAAATAAGAGGCAAGAGCAAGGATTGATTGGTTAAGAGCAACATAGAGAAATGATGGGCAGACATTAGAGGCCATTTGCAATTGCAACACACTTCAACTGCATATTGACATATTGATTTACAGGTGAATGAAAAGCCAACCCCAAATAGTTGAGGTTAAAGGTCGGATGGTGATGATTTACTCATTCAAGAAGAGCCAACTCCAAATGGTTAGGATAAGAATCCGAATTTACCAACAGTTGGAAACCGAAAAAAGGCATTTTCATCGCATTGAAGAAACAAGAGAACCCCAAAATTGGAAAACACCCAAAAAAAAAAAAAGGTGGGGGCATGAGCATAATATAATATATGCTTATTGCAAAATGAAATGGGTCAAGCATACTTAGTTTGGACAAGGGTTTTTTTTTTCTGCCACAATTTAAGACCCAAGTGCAAAAAGGCTTCATTTAAGACGATTTGTACTATTGATTGTTTGCATTCTTCATTTAATTGCCCGAGAAAAACAAGATACGTTTCAAAAAAAGAAAAACCAGATGCAAACCATTGAAAGTTCTTTTTAAAAAAAAACATAAAACCGACCAAACACAACTTACAAAATTAAAAATTAAAAACAAAAGAAAACTATTGAGAACATATAACAGAGGAGACGGAGAGGGGGTAACGGAAGCTGTTGGCGTACTGAAAAGAGAGGCTTCCTCCTGATCTAAGAGGACGACCATCATTAACCAGGCAATCGTTGAATCCCAGTCGTCGAAAAATCTTGGGGTTGATCATGCGAGCCGAGCTGAACCATCCACAACGAAGATGGATGGCTGAGATATCACAGTTACTTCTCAAGCAAACGTTAAGGATTTGGACTGTATAAGTGGGGATACCATTTGGTAAAGGTCGTGTGTCGCCTTGATACACCTCGATGTCATCTCTCGAACACGAGTCACCGATTCGATCCGTCTCTTCAGCTGTATAACAAAAACAAATGGACTCGTCTGAAACAATCGAGTTCTCATAAAAATTAACCTAGACGATTTTACCCGCCTTTTTAAAGGGGTAAAATAAAGAATGCCAACAAGCAAAGGAAAGACGACACAAGGTGGCATATATGTCTTTTCTTAGCTACGCGCACGTGATTTAATCAGTAGGAAAGGTACTTAAGGCATTTAAATAAATTAAGAAATGGTATTCAAACCTTGCTATAATTCGCCACCCATATATACTGTTTTGTTTCGAATTTTTTTCAACAAAATATTTTGACACTAAGTTTAGGTAATCCACTCCTAATTATATAAAATAATTCTGATAAAGTAAGATGACCAAAATACTTTTAAAAATTCTAAAGTTATTTTACTTATTTTATTTTTTAAAATATTATTTTAATATTTTTTAAGTGCATCGGATGGAGATGATTAGAACATGACATAAAATTCATATTCCTATGATTTGTAAAAAATAAAATAAAAATATAATATTATGAGACATACAAATCTAAATTTTAAGTTTAGTGGCTTAAAATCATCCGAACCATTCATTAAGATCGGACGGCTTGGAGATGGTGGATGTAAATGTTACGTTTTGTGGCTTTTACACATGGGTGGGGAAGTATTATAGTAAGTTTTCCCCAGCACTTCTTCATTTGGGTAATGTGCAATGAGTCATATCCTAAATCATCTTTTAGACCCATCATCTCTATTCCGAGAATGCTTAAGCAATTAATAAAAGATAAAAAGGCCCCAGTTATGCAAGAAAAGGCAAACATCACAAATGCGATGCACTTGCTCACTCTAGAAAGAAGCCCACTCGTTACCTTTTTACCGAATTATTTGATGACACAATTATGTTTTAGGGGTTACTTTGCCCCCATAATCCAGATTAGGTCACTTCAAATAAAACACATGGGAGGCAAAACTAATCCACTCCCTCTCAATTTTTAGACGCTAAAAGTAAACTTTCAACAAAAAAAGGTGCGTATTCATTAGGGGTGGCAATACGAATCAGGTCCAGGTTTGGGTCCAGACTCAAATAGTATTCGGGTCTAAAATTTGGACCCGTATCCAGATACTTGTCGGGTCCTAGATCTAGTTGGATCCATTGCCACCCTATGACTAGGAGAATTCTTTTTCTGGCATTTTTTTACTATCATATAATCTATGACTACACGGTCATGAATAGAGTGCAGATTGGGCCAAGGTGGACCCGAACCTAAACCCAAATAGTATTCGGGTCAAAAATTTAGACCCATACCCAGAGTTGAGGGGTATATCCATTGGGTCCCGGTTCTAGTCGGGCCCATTAACACCCCTAGTATTTATTATATTAAATTTCCTCAAAGCCTATAAATTAAACACGAAAAATAAAATTCAAATCATGAGTTAAGTTACCTAGCGTGAGAAGTTCACGAGAACTGGAATTCCTCAATGTATCGACCAGAGTTTGACTAAGAATTTTACTCCATGGGTAAGACAAGCCTGAAAGAATAACAGAACAAAAAAAAGTAGAGCATCGCTAACAAGTATTTGAAATATACACAAAAAACATGATCCCAATCAAGTATGATAAAATTCGTACGAAATGGTCAAGGACATGGTTCTATGCCGCCAGCCCTGATATTGTAGAGATGTGGGCTTGGCAATAAATATATTTTTAAATACAATTTAATCTTAATTTTTAAAGAATATATAATCTTTAACTTGAAAACCATGATTATGAAAAAAAACTGAAGACTGAAAAAATAATAATTACATTAAAAAAACATTTGGACCACATAGGTAACAATTGTTTCTAGATGGACCACCTATTTGCATCCACCTTTAAGATGGATGCTTTATACCTGTGGATTTTCCCATAATAAAAGGCTAAGTATTTGATCAATGTAAAAAGGACTCGATCCCTCCTTGAGCCTGGAAGCTCGAGCTGTGTCCTGGCCAAGACAAAAAGTGCTCAAAAAACATAAAATGCAAAAATAACCAGAAATTAGGAAAAATATGTTTAAAGTGAATCCAAACGAGGTTTAAAAAGCACTAAAAATGGATTTTTAAAAAAATCAGGATGCGGAGTATTTTTAGAAATAATACCAAAAAAAAAAAAATGAACATGTAAATGTAAGTACTATAAATAAATTCCTTATTTTAAAATTTTCTTTTTTAATTTCTTTTAAGACCCATGAGTTGACTACCCAATGTCAACTCGGGCTACGTAGGCTGGCTAGAGTTATGTGGCAGGCGAGTCCGAGTTGGCTCCCCCGAGTAATCAAAACCGTATCTAATCACTAATCAAATTATTGGCTCGTTTAAGACTCGAGAACATTTATATTACACTAAATACTAAATCCACGATTTCAAAGGCATATGGTGCGAAAGATTTGAATGGAAATATCCGACTAATGTGTACAGATGAAGAATTACCATTTTCGGGAGAAAACAGATGACAAAAAAACAAAGCCATTGCCACCAAACAGAGCCCACAATAATATCTCTTCATAGATTGAGGCCCCATACCACAATATAAGACAACCAAATATGAAGTCAAAATCAGGCTTAAACCTATCTGTCACTTTACCAACCTGCACATTAAATAAAAAACAAACACAAGAACACAGATTACTACGTGTAGAGCCCCCAAAATTCAAAAAGTTAGCTTATAATAATCATAATAAGAACACTACTAATACCAAACAAATTGACTTTCTAAGCTCATACTAAACCACAAAGTTCCTTTAAAAAAGAAATTAGACAGAGACAAAGAGGAATAAAAGAATAGAGAAACAAACAGATTGAAACTTATAGTGAAAGCTTCAAAAATGAAGCTCCCACTACATAAAGGAGATCAAGAAAAAGGGCATGTTACAAAAGAGACGAATACATTATTGAAGAGCACTAAAGTTACCATTTCTATTCAGGAATCACGAGAGTTGTCTTAAATTTAAGCGACAAGAAAACAAACAGAAGCTTAAAAATGTTATCAACTGAAATTAGCTTCAAAAGTTCCAACAATTCTCCAAAATCACCTTACACTTGGTTCACTTATCAAACATCATGCGATAATTCGAGATCGAAACAAAAAATTATCGCAAAACTTCAAAGATGTTCATCGATCAAGATTTATTCGGGAGAGAAGAGAATTCTGAAGATTTGTAGGAATATAGCAGAGAGTTTGATCAATATACGATTGATATAGAAAAATATAGGGGCACTTTGGAATTTAAAGCTGATACAGGGATAAATTTTTTGCATTCAAACCAAAGAAAGGAACGACATTACCCGACATTGTGAGTAAGAAAGTGGCTTACAAACTCGCAGATTCACGACCAAAAAGAAGCAGAACCAAAACCCTAATGAAAATGCTAATCTGTTACCTCGCCCGGGTACTGATACTCCTCGTCGTAAAAATCAATATTCCGACCCGAAAATTACTAGTACTCTCCGGAAAATGTATGTTCTCTGTAAAGTCAGCAGACAAAGAGTTTTTCCGGCAGCTAGTGGGTAGGCCTTCAAAGAAATTTGCCCTTACTTGATAGCCTCACAATTAGTAAAGAGCTTCAGGGTAAATACTTAAAGTTGCAGGAAATTCGATACATTAAGCATTCTTTTACCAGAAATTCGCTTGAAAAATAAAGATGACGGTTAAGAATAGGCATCTCTCTAAGAGTAAATCAGTTTCCGACTTCTCATACCAAATCGAATGTGAACTCCGTCTGTCGAAATGGCGCATAGTAGTCGTCGATACCAGTCACTAAGTCTCCAATCCGTGAAAAATTACTGGTAAATTTTCCGGCTTAGCTAATGGAATTCAGAAGGTGAAAAGCTCAGTTTCCCACCTAAAATCCAGTAATAAAGAGCTCATTTTAATAACAATGAAGCTTGAGTATAAAACTCAATAGCTACTTCCATTCTCATTGATCCAAGACAAGGGACAGTGAATCGCCGGAATATCGCCGGAGAAATGAAATTCCGACTAGTGGGGATTCCAGTGCATCTATCGATCTCGGAGTTAATGAATTTGCAGAGCCCGCGAGAAGGCAACAGAACAAGAAGGATCAGAGACTTAATTTAATACTACGATTTAACCGCGGGTTAAATCTTAACAGTCTCGTTAAAGCATATTAACCTCGGGTTAAAAGGGCGACGTGAAATAAACGCCTCAGCTTCCTTTTCTTAACTTGGATAATTAATGTTTTTTTATTTTTTTCAATTTTTCGTATTGACCCACATCGAAGTTTTCTATTTTACCCCGACATTTGTGCATGCTGCTATGTATTTTGTTCCAGTCGTTCCCGTGGCATTTATGTCATTGAGTAATTCCCTCGATTTTGTATTCATTTAATTCATGGAATTTAATATGTGGCTCGTTGGAGCCGATAAGGCGGCTTGAGTTCCACGTGGCGTGAAGTGATTGATGAACGTGTGAAAGAACATTCCTGGGGAAGGGAAGGATTAAGTAACTGATTTGAGACCGAGATCTTTCGGCGTTTTGTCCGAGAAAAATAAATGAAGACTGAAAACATAATATCTAAAAAGAGCGAGGCGAGGAAGGGAGAGAAATATAGTACTGTTTTGGTGCAGGGGGTAGATCCTAGAGAGAGAACAATCAAAACAATTCAAAAAAGATAACAAAATTTTTTAAAAGGTCAAAAATTTATTTAAGATATTTTTCATAGAAAAAAAAGTTTATAAAGGGCTGTTTAGAACTACGAATGCTCCTCAAAAGCAAATGCAGGGATAATGTTGAAAAACCATTTGATCGATCATCTACTTATGTATGTATGAGCATAAAAGAAAAAAAGATGTTAAATTTCAAAAATAGTATATTTTACAACATATTAATTACATCGTCTATTTTTTAAATTTTTATATGTTAATTTTTAACTATTTTTAAAATTTAAAATTTTATAATTAGATATAAAATATTTTTTAAGATAATCTTAATAACAATTTACATCAAAATTATATATCATCACAAAATTTGAAGGTGCATCATACCTTTACACCCACAAGTGCATTTGTATGCAAAAATGAACCTTTTTTTATTGGAGCCTACCTTCAACTAGTGTAAAAAATGGTGGTTTTAATATTGGAAATCTTTGTGATAGCTTTAAAATATATTTTATATATTTATTTATAATTTTAAATTTTCAAAAATAGTGTAGATTGACAGATTTATGAAAAGTTGAAAATCTTGAAAATTAACGGTCCAAAAATATGTTACAAAATACATTATTTTTAAAACTTGAAATTCATTTATTTCTCGTGTTTATGCTTCTTGATGTCGAGGTGATCAATTTGAAGATATTTAAACATCAAAACAACCTCTCCTAGTGAAATTTTTGTGATAGGATTAAATTTAATTGTTTAGAGCCTCGGCTCTGTATAAACTTTTTCTTTTTTACAAAGATTAGAAAGTGTTTTCGCTATAACTATTTATTTTTTTTATTTTTTTAAATTACTTGAAAAATAACTTTAGTCGCAAGTTGATCTTTTAAAATTTATTTTTAACTTTTTTTTAATATCATTTTTGAGTGATTTGCTTAATTTTTATTTAATTACATATTTCTTTAAAAATTTTATATGTTTTTATAATTTTTAATATTTTTTTACTGCTATAGTACTCAACACTACTGAGATGAATTACTCGAACTTATTTTGGCTTACCGGCTCAAGCCAGAACTAATTACTCAAATCTAACACTCGAAACAAGAATGGTGTTGGGGCACCGGTGGCTAGGAGGGCAGACCCTCCAATCCCACCCTTTACATATTAAAAACAGAATCTAAAGACCATAGACAAAAAAACACATTCACTAGCACTCATGTTTCAAATTCAAACAGTGAGTTGCATAAAACTTTACCAAAATGGCTATGCAAGAAGGAAAAATAGACAATAGTCAATGACATTCTAGAGAGAGAAAATTACTAAAAACAGTGACAAAAACCTGAAGACAACTAAAAACACAGAAGAGCCAAAATAAAGGCCGACAGTAAATTGTAGAGAGAAGGTGCACCAAGGCCCATTTGATGTAGAGAGAAACAAGTTGAATGGGACTGTTATGTAGAGAGAGAAACAAGTTGAAAGAGGAAGTTAAGAAATAAGACTAGGATGTAGAGAGAGAAAGAGTTTGCAAGGGGGTAAGCTTGGAGAGAGAAAATAGAGAGAGGTGGGGGCTAAGTAACTGGAGCTGTAGAGAGAGAAAGAGTTTGAAACTTAGAGAGAGAAAATAGTGGGAGATGTAGAGAGAGATAGAGTTTGAAAGGGTCGCGCCGTAAAACAGAAGAAGTGGCGGCTGAATGTTGGGCCTGATTATACCGGCATTTAATGTGTGTTGTTAGTGGTTCGTGCCTTTGCCAACTGGTTGTGGACACGTGTTGATTATGTTCCTTTGCGATGTTTGCGAGCACGGTCTGTGTCCACGTGACGACGGCTTTTGACGAAAGTTTTCGGAATTTCGGATATTTCGTTTCAGCCTAGGCTTGGGCTGAAATTCGGTGAGACGCGCAGGCGAGTGCCGTGACTGACGTCATCGAAAGTTTCCCTTCACGAAAGGACATCGTTTGTACGAATACATATACAAAGGAGTCACCACTTAAAAATCTATTTTTAACATGGATTTTTGGACTTAAATTTCAAGGATATTTAATTTCGAAAATAAGGCATATAAAAAAGTAAATAAATTTAGAAATTTAGAAATAATAATTCTATTAATAAAACATTTGGATTGTTAGTTTTAAGGGTAATTATCGCTAATACCTATATTTAAATAAAATCGAAAAAAAAAAATCTTCAACTTTTTAAAACCTTGCTTGCACCTTTTTTCTCAATTTTCGATTTTTTTTTATAAAAATACCATTCACGATAGTCTTTTTACCGTAAAGAACATTACGATAATTTAAATACCGTAATTATCGTAAATTACATTTACGGTAATTTAAATACCGTAATGTGCAGAAAAGTCCATACGATAATTTATATACCGTAATTATTAGGATATTTTATACGGTAATTTAAATACCGTAAAAAATATTACGGTAATTTAATTATCATAATATATAAATATATTCTTCGTGTCATTCTTATTACTAGTTGAAACCGAAGCTAATATCAAGGCTACCCCTCTCCTCTGGATGAACTTTCTACATCTGTCTCTAAAACCCACCTTTCTCAATCCAATAATGAAAATGGGATCCTTAGAAAACAAGCAATCCAGTAATTCCAAGGCCATATCCATCCTGCCTTCTTTATACAATGTATTTATCAATAGGTCATAAGTCTCTATATTGGTAGGAATCTCCCTAGCAATCATCTCTTCCAAAACCAAAATAGAATGGCTCAAAAGTCCAACATTACAAAATGATTTGATTACGGTGTTGCAGGTGAGAGAGTCGAGATCAAGCCCAAATTGGGTCATCTCCAATATAACCCCTGTCGCATCTTCCCATATCTGAAGATTACAATAACTACTAAGCAAAATACAGTAATTATAAGATTCCAGTTCAAGCTTGTTCTTGAGGAATTGGCCTGCTTCCTCAAACCTCTCCTCTTTTCACAACCTTTCAATGATGAGATTATAAACAAAATGATCAAGGACATGACCTTTTACCAACAACAAAAGGAGAATCTCCATAGGCTTATCAATGCCACTCCCGTTGCAAGCATTTTCAATCAAAATTTTATAAGTCAAAGGCTCAGGGAAAATGTTTTTCTCCAATAACGGATTTGAGAAAGGTGGGTTTTAGAGAGAAAGACAGAGAAAGTTCACAGAGTGCAGGAGAAGAGGGGTAGCCCTGATATTAGCTTTGATTTGAAGCTTTTCAAAGCATTACGGTAATAAGAATGACGTGAAGAATATATTTATACATTACGGTAATTAAAGTATCGTAATGTTCTTTACGGTATTTAAATTACTGTATAAAATATTCTTAGAATTACGGTATAAGAATTTTCTATACATTATGGTATTTAAATTACCGTAATATTCTTTACGGTAAAAAGATCACCGTGAAAGGTATTTTCGTCTGAAATAGCCAAAATTGAGAAAAAAGGTGTAGGCGAGGTTTTAGAAAATTGGGGTCTTTTTTTCTAATTTTATTAAAATATAGGTATATTAGCGATAATTACCCTAGTTTCAATTGTTTTTAGATTGACCACCTATTTGCATCCATCTTCGAGGATAACAAATGTTGAAAATACAGTTCCCGATAAATTTTTCCATATGTGAATATTTCAAATTAAAGTAATAAAAAAAACTCATAAAGAGCAAATGATATTTGACCTAATTACAAATTTAAGAAAAATATCATGTTTGCTTTGAGTAAAGTGTCACATGCGTCGGGGGAGGCATTTGTACATTTATGTCCCCTAAGGCATACGCCATCGATCAATGGATGTTAACCATGGTCCCTCCAAAAAAGAAAAACAATTCAAAATCAAGTTCAAATACTTTATTAAAAAATTGTTATTTTTAGTTTTCAAAATATATCTATTTCTACATATTAATGATTTCGATGTTAAAGATTATATACTACTTAAAAATTAGGGCCAAAATACTAAGAGAGGGTGCATTTCTACATATGAGTCCAAGGACTCATAAAAACAGTGTCCTTTCTTTTGATTGAGCCAAAATTTCAACCTTGGATGTTGGCAATAGGTCTTTAACCACCTAATTTGGTGCATGCCATCCATGTCCAAAACAACGCTTATATGGCAAAATGCTATTCTCTCCCTCTCTCTCTCTCTCTCACTCATATGGGGTGAGAATATTATTAAGAGAAAGTGATAATCGTACTTTTGAAAATCATAGAACGAAAAATTTAGCAAAAATTACTTAAAACACTCAAATATGGACTTTTTATGAAATTTACCTCAGTGTAACTTTTTTTAACATATTTTTCTCCAAAACCAACTTTTTTAGCTAATACCCCCCAATTCAAAAAAGTTATAAGTTTTTCGACAAAAATACCCTTTCCCGTACCTTCCCCATACAGAAAAAAATCATTTCGCCAGCTATGACATACGCCATTACTATTTTCGCCGGAACGTGGTTATAAATTGATAGCCATATCAATTTTGCCAGACCGCAATTCTACAATACCAAACTGCTTATTCCAGACAACGTTATGCCGGACCATAGATTAAGAATGCCAGACAGCACATTATTCCATACACAAATGTCGGACCACACATTTTAAATGTCGGACTGTCCCTACTCCAGTAACTTAATGGCCGGAGCACTATTTGAAATTGTCGGGCTTCCCCTACTCCAGTAACTCAAATGCCAGACTGCGACCGACCACCAGACATAAGTTTTAAAACACCGGACATCCATACTTCAAGAAGACATCTATCGGACCGCCCATGTGAAGTGTCAGATTGCTTCAAGCAAGAGCCAAAGCGCACCTTTGAAATGCCAAACTGCCCTTCAGGCAGAAAGATATCTGCCGGACCACCCCTCTGTAAGTGCCGAATTGATCTAACGTAGTGCCGGACCGAAGCTTTAAATTGCCGGACCACCATACTTGAATAAGATGTTGTCAGACTGAATAAGATGTTGTCAGACTGCAATTGTGAAGTGCCGGATTGTTTGACGTTAATGCTGGACTGCTCCTTTGAATTGCCGGTGTGCCCTTCTGCTAGAGAGAATTATGTCGGACCGCCCCTATGAAGTGCCAGAGCGCCCCTGATTACAGTGGAGGATTTGCCAGACCGTGGGTAGTCAAGTGTCGAATTGCCCCTTTTTCCAGGAAGCAAACTATCGGACCACTCTTAGTAAAGTGCCAGATCGCTCTTTGATGAACATGATACGAACATGTAACTTCTTATGCAATGATTCCCAATAGATTGGCCTCAAATAAATCCCAATAGTATGGTATAGAGAGAGAGAGAGAGAGAGAGAGAGAGAGAGAGAGAGAGAGAGAGAGACGTAGTAGTTAGTAGTTACGTTTACGTACTACTACTAACGTAAACGTAAGTAGTACGTACTACTACTAACTTAATTTACGTTACTAACTACTACTAT